CAGATGGTTACAGGTTTATGTGCTGAGTCATCCACTTTTCATTGAGGAGAAGAAACAAAAACGTAGTCTCCAGCTTTTAAGGGCTTTGGATGATTCTAGAAATGATAAGATGCTAAACAGTTTCAATTCAGAGGCTGTAAGAGGAGTAACTAGCTGGTTTACTCAGTGACAAACCAAATTCTTCAGTCATTTTGTATTCAGTGTTATAAAAGAGGGACACCATTTTTTATCTTGGAAAGAAATGATCCAAAATAAAACCAAAAAGGAATCAGGGCACTTACTCCACAAGAAGAATTCTTACAGCGACTTCATGGCCGGTAGAGCAAAAAGCACAGAAGTGGTAGCACTCTGTCCTAGAATGCCAGACAAAGGTAGGCTATTCTAGAAAATTAGGTCTAGAGACATACAGAGTAAAAATTCACAGGATGGGTGGCAAAATGGCAGACCAACATAGTTTTGCATCTCTACTCTCAAATTGATGAAGCTACGGGGATTAAAGAGAAATGTGGATATTCTCAGAATAAACTAAAACAAGCATGAGAAACCCTTCAGGAGACTGAGGACTGTTCTGAACTCATGTGTCAGGGGGAGGTAGGTGGCTGCAGCTTGCGGGAGAGGACAGCCAGAAATTGCAGCTAAAAGACTAATGGAAAAAAAAAAGATTTTTGAATTCTACCCTTGATTTTGCCCACATGGCCCTGGGACAATTGCTGCTTCCTTTCTTTACTTCATAAATCTTCAGCAATAGTCCAGACCATAGATGCCAGTGTCCATTGAGTGATACCAGGGAAGCCACAAAGCCAGGTTGGTGTGAGGTGTTGAAGATGGATGGATGAGCTGACCAACTGCCCTTGAGCTTCCTCAACCCTCTGATTGCAAACTCCCAGAGCTAGAAGATGATAGCTACAAAGACAGTCCCTCCAGTTCTGCTATACCCTAAAGGAGCAGCTTTCAAACTTGAGCATGTCCGAGCATCACCCAGAAGTCTTGTTAAAAAACAGATTGTTGCTCCCCATCCTGGAGTTTCTGCTAAGTCTAGAGTGGAACCTGAAAATTTGTAAGTCTAACAAGTTCCCCTACTTGTCTGTCAGTATGTCATACTGTGGTAGGTTGCATGCTGCTATGATGCTGGAAGCTATGCCACTGGTATTTCAAATACCAGCAGGGTTACCCATGGTGGACAGGGTTCAGTGGAGCTTCCAGACTAAGACAGACTAGGATAAAGGCCTGGCAATCTACTTCTGAAAATTAGCCAATGAAAACCCTGTGGTCACAACAGAATATTGTTCAATATAGTGCTGGAAAATGAGCCCCCTAGGTTGGAAGGCACTCACAGTACACAGTGTCCACAACAACAGACTTGAGCATACCAACGATTGTGAAGATGGCACAGGACTGGGCAGCGTTTTGTTTTGCTATACACGGGGTCGCCATAAGTCAGATCCTACTCGACAGCAACTAA